TACCACCAACCTATGTTCACTGGTCAATATAGACATGTAGGAAACTCCATGCACATGTGCTGGAAGAGTGGCCTTATCAGTCACCTTTTAAATTGGACTCAAGCCATTTGATAACCATGCAAGTTCAGTGGTGAAATGGAGAACATCAAAGGCATCCTTCAGGATGGTGACTTCACTGATCAGATCATTTCTCACTGTATAGATCAAAATCACAAGCAGTTCTGAAGGTGTCACTTTTGATCCTGAAAAATGCCCACTTTACCTCAGATTGGTATCAGATGAAGCTAGCTGTTTCAGGCCGATATTACGCAGTGCAAAACAAGTGCTGTTTGCCATAACAGGACACTGCTGTCAAGCAAAAAAGTATGCCTATCATACAAAGCCAAAAAGTATGCCTATCATACTTATCTAGCATCACAATAGTCATTTGTAAGGACCATGTCGCAAAAACTGGCAGATTGTATCAAACAAAGTATCGATTGTACCCAAAAAGCCTACATTTGCAAATTTCACAACAAAGCCAACATTTGATGTGATTCTGCAATTAGACAACATTTATAAAATAATTGTCAGTTTGCAAAGTATTACGCTGACAATCCTTAATTGGTTGTCAATCAGCCTCACAATGTGTCAACACTCATATTTACTGGAAGCTACATGTATTAAGACACATTAAGTTCCTTTCAGTCTGAAATAATGGACACGTACTCTACTTGTTTCAACTCAGCAAAATAGGTGATGGCCATTCTCAGGGCAATGCCTTGACCAACCAGAGTCAATCTGCCTTGTTTAAAATTTAAACAAGCCTTGATAGCTAACAATCAGTAGTCATTAACTGGTGTATTTTCCAAGGCAACACCTCTAATAATCAGAGTCTATTTGTCAACCAATGAGCACTCTCCTCATGTACAATATAAATGTCATTTTCCTTTTACTCTGGTATTTCTTGCAAATTGGCCTGATGGGTGCAAGATGAAAAGCTTCAGGAAAATGTGTATTTTTTCAGAAATGTAAATATTTTCTCGTAATTTTATGCTACATTGTTTAAAGTGTTTCCTACCTTGTGCCACTAGTGAACGTAGACAATTGCTTCTTTGATCCTAACATCTAAATTGTTAATGGATAATGAACCCATTGAAGGATACTGCTGGTCACATCCTACAATTACGATACCTACTCACTGTCTTGAATGTTTAGCTCAACAGTTGCAGACAATCTTTTAACCAGGTTAATAATCTACCTACAATCCCACAGGCTTCAGCTTTAGCTCACAATCTCTCTAAGAGGTTTATCAAATACTTTCTGCAAGTCCAAATAAATAACATCCATGGACATTCTGCTGTCCACTATTTAGTCACCTCTTCAAAAGAATCACATCAAGTTTGTCAGTGACTTATCTTTGCAACTGCATCCAGCTTCTCTCCAATCAGCTGGAAAATGTCAAGGTGTTTCGTCATCCATCTTTAATTGCAGATTTGCATAATTTTCAACAAATGTTAGACTATTTGGTTACACATTCATACCTTTCTTAAATAGTGGAGCAATAAAGCAGTAAGCACGATTTTCCTACCTAAAGGAATGGTTCCTGAACAAAAAGAACTGTGGAATAATACAATTAAGACATTTGCAAAAAGTTCTTGCCTCCTTCTATTAAAAAAACTGAGATGAAAATCATCTTGTCCTGGGGATTTATCACCTGAAATTCTCAAAGCCTAAGTAAGAGATCACATTGAGAGAAACATGTGCATTCTACTTCTATCCTGGCCAATATTTATTGCTCAATGAACATCATTAAAATAGATTGTTTGGTTATTTATTTTACCGCTGGTTATGGGATCTTGAATGAAAAACTTGACAACATCTGCAAGTCATAGAAGATAATGTATGAATATAACATCATGATAAATTGGTAGGAACGCCAGCATATTCAGTTCTTGTCTCCCACTCTCAATGCGCCTAATATCTGCAGTAGCATAATTTTGCTCGTTTGGTGAACCTCCAGCTCTGTTATCCAAACACAAAGATTTACCAAGTTCTATGACCATGAGGATATGCATAAAATGCAAGAAAAGTATAGGGAATAAATATCTGGTTGGTTTTCAATGCCTTCAGGACAACACTAGGTGGGCAATAAATAAAACATAGACAGTTGCCCACATCACAAAGTAGTAAATATACCCTCAAACATTTTCTTGGAGAGGTGCGGACTGGGGAGGGTAGTAGAGGGACAAGGGACCTTCCCTGCCCAGTAAAGTGCTGCAGCATTCCAGACACCAGTGGGAGGGGCCAATTTTTGACTGACTACTAAGGCCATCTTTTTACTGTAACTGTTAAAAATCAGAGAGAGGGTGCCATCATCCAGAACAGGCCTCTCACGTTGCCTTCCAAAGCGCAGTGCAGGCTTTTGATACCCATGCTGGCTGACAGCAAGAGTTCAGAAACTCACTGGAAAAAACTCTGCCAAGTTGCATGTTTTACAGAACAGTTCCCTCCATTCTTCAAGTTACTTGAAGTCTCAGAAGCCAAGTGTTCCCATCATCTGCACATTGTATGTCAATTTAATTTTTAACTGTAGTCTTTTTTACCATGCATCAATGAGAGGGCCTGGCATGCCTCCTGCAACAGGAGATAGCAAGAACTGCAGATGCTGGAGTCAGAGTCAATACAGTGTGGAGCTGGAGAAAAACAGTAGGTCAGGCAGCAGAGGAGCAGGAAAGTCGACATTTCGTGTTTACACTCTAAACCCAAAAGGTCGACTTTCCTGCTCCTCTGATGCTACCTGACCTGCTGTCTTCCTCCAGCTCCAGACTGTAATACCTCTTGCAACCACTGCTCCTTATGTCCATATCACTTCTGACAGGCATTTCTCACAGTGGCTCACAATATCCATTAGGTTTCCATCAGCAATTTCCAAAGCTATCTCTGTTCTGCAGCTTTGCATACATCACAGCTATTTGCTTCACACTATGCATACTATCTAGCGCAATTCCTTTTACAAGCGCAAATTACCATCACAACTTTGCAGATACGAGCCTGACAAAGTGCTAACATGACAGGAGCTCATTGCAGCCACTCCTTTCTTCTTGAAGGCACACAAAAATCGGCACAACTTACTAAATATTCATGCTAAGAAAAAAAAGAAAGCTCTGCCTGCAGATCCTGTTCCATACTATGTTACGTATGCATTTCAATGTGGAATTCATCGTTCAGAAATGAAGGTAGAGAGGATAGAATTTAACACAGCCCATTTCAGTGGGTATGAAGACATGGGACTTGGGCAGGAGGCCCATGACCAACTCTTAACTGCTGGAAAATTATCCTGAATTGGTTGGGGCAGTGCACCTGATTGGAAAAATTGTATCCTCAGCAAAGTTGCAACAAAACTCAATTAGGGTCATTAAACAAGTCACTTAAGACTAACTATGGAAAGCCACAGGGATTTAATAGTGACTCACATGCGTCTCCTGTGCCTTCCAAAAGGCCATGAAGCAAACCCTCCGTAGTCTCTTGGCTATGGTGGGGTGGGAGGTGTACTGACTTCATTCACAGGTACTCAGTGTCTAATCAAGGGTCTCAGCATCAGGAAGTAAGGACGTGACTAAGAGCCATCCCCGAGCTTTTGCATTTAACCCATCCCTCCATCTCACCCCATCTTGCAGTCAACCCCTTCCCTGTGACCACCATCCCATCCCATGCAGGCCTCAGTGTTCCCATCAGTGCTACTGACAATAAGGAGTTGCCAGTCTCTGACTGGCCACCCAAAGCACCAAGCTAATGTTCTAGGAACAAAGGTTCGAATCCCACCATTGCTAGCTGATGAAAATTGCATTCAACAAGAATAAGGAATTAAAAAGTTAATCTAATGGCAACCATATAACGACTGTCAGCTTTTATAAAAACCCGTCTGATTCACTAGTGTGCTTTAGGAAAGGAAACCTGATCCTTACTTGGTCTGACCCACGTGTGGACTGTGGACCTAAGGCAATCTGGTTGCCTTTTAAATACCCACTGGGCGATCAGGGATGGGCAATAAATGCTGGCCTAGCCAGGAATGTTGATTTGCCATGAACAGGTTTTTAAAAATGTCAGTAATTGTGATGTAAAGTAGAACTAGTCTCTACTGTAAATCATTCCATGGGTTTAGGGCATGAAGAAAAAAAAAGGATTAAAATAGGATAATAGTGGGGGGAAATCATTTGAGTTCATTTTCAAATAACCAACAAAAGGCAAAGTCAAATAATCCTGTTTTAACTAGTTTGCAGTAAGCTAGTGATGAGAAATGTCATCTCACTAACGTTTACAATTCCTTTTTTGGTTTGGCAAAGAGAAAATTCAGAATGGACTTTTTTTTTTAAAAAAAAAAGAAGTTAAGTAGGATCTTTCACATCTAATGACATATGAAAGTAACATCACAGTCAATTATGCATTTTTGAGGAACAGTTAATGGAAGCCAATTTTCATATTTCACATTACCATAATCTAACAAGCTAATTGTCCAATTTCTTTTAAGCAATGCTTGCTGAGAGTTAAATTTGGCCAGGACACCAGAAGAACAGACTCTACTATCTTCTTAAAGTACCATGGGATCTTTTATGAGGGGATGAAGGGAACTTAATTTACTGTCCCATCTGAAAGATGGCAGTTCAGACAATACAGGATTCCTTCCATACTATATTGGAGTGTCCTGCGAGGTTTATATTGTTCCTTTTATAGTTATGAGGCAAGGGGCACTCATGTCAAAACCAAGGCTGATGCTTACCTACAAATACAAGTTCTTCAGAATGTGTGTAGTAATGAAACAATACATCCAAACAAACTCAAATTATTTTTCAAGCAATGTTTTACAACACAAATAAGCCATTCAATGCAATCAGTTAATTTTCATCATTTACCCTTCCACCCAAGAGCCATAAAACATCTGAATTACACATCTAAATAGGCGATTAGAGAATAAAACACAAGGAAAATGTGCAGCCTTCACAGACATGCTCAGTACTCACTCCAAGAAACATCTTAATTGCACTGTATATTCCATAAAGTTCAACTGAAAAGTGTTGTGGTGGGTACGTTAAAAATAAAATCAGAATAGACTGTTCACCTGTCAAACGGAAATTTGCAAGATAAGTTCAAACATAAGAATAACACATCATATTTTCTGACAATCAATTCATTATAGATTTATGAAAGGGACAACATTTTGTAAATAAGGAGGAGAAAGACAAAATTCAGATATAATAGTAGGGCAAAGTCTTAGAACACTTTAAAAAAAAAACATATCATATCTAACAGTAATATGGGACAAGTCACATCATAGAATGAAATCTGGTTTGCTAGATCATTAAATTTAATTTTTGCAACTGGTTACCATGGTGTTTAGTCACTGAGACTGCTCACGAGGCTGCCAGTGCTCTTTAATAAAAGAACACGTTATAACACAAAATGAAAAAAAAAGTTTATATATAATTATTATCTGCACACCCCAGTTTACAAAAGATCTTTACATCAGCAAAATGGACAATTCAACTTCTTTTCTTACCCCCAGCAATGCCCTTCCCAGATATTCAATCCCATCTTAACTCTCCTATCTTAACCGACTCTTTCCATTTGTGGTGGCCAAGTCTTCTTTACAGATCTAATTGTCTAAACCATTTCTCAATTCTAACAACTTGAAAACATAAGCTCTTCCAGCTCAGAAATTCCACAAATTAAACACTCAGTCTAAAGATTTGAATAAAACTATTCTCTGAAGTGACATGAGCTCAAAGTACTGGTGGCCCTTGGTCGGTTTTCTCTGTATGTCATAAAAGTTCCACTTACAAGCACTTCATAAATTTACACTACAGATATTCTGCTGGATGATGTCACGTGTCTTCTTGAAAATTATATGTTTAGTTCACTGTTCCAAATGACTTCCTGACTTCTTTAAAAAAAAATACATTAGCAGAACTGAAACCACTAATCTGTCTTATTTCTACTTTAAAATTCTAAAATTCTAAATTCCCAGACAAAATCATAATATATCATACACCCTTATCACAATGGAAACAGTGATATTTCTCAACCATGTTTCACTATAGAAGGAATTTATTCTAAAACATTTTCAAAAATGTGATAAAACTCATATCATACATTATCATTTGGGATTTGGATTTTAAAATAAAGGCAGATAGATTTGAGTTAGTTCTATGAAGGTGTTTTCTCAAAAGGGTCAGAAAGTCATTTGGAACAGTGACTTTAATATACCATTTCCCAGAAGGCATGTGACTTCAATCAATTTCCTGCCTAGATACCTGTGCTGTTAATGGATGGAATGTTTATATTGCCGAGTTTTACAACCAGAGGTCATTAGTTTAGCTTGTGATTTCAGTTTAACAGGGAGAACAGTTTTTTTTTTCCTCTGATAGCATTGCTGAAGAATTAGAAGTTCTGCTCAGAAGGGAGAAAGATTTTTCCTAGGAGAAGTATTTAGCTTTTGTTGAGGGAATCTAGACACCCTAGATGAAACTTTGTAAGTCTGTGGAATAACAAGTTGAGAGAGTTTGTATAGAAGACTTCAAGTTGTTAGAACCAAGCAAGTTTAGGCCTTCAGAACTTTGAAAGATTTGTGAAGATGACTCAGGAAAAGAAAATAAAATCTGTCCGCAATCTGGAGGAAAATAAACTGAGAAGATGCAGTTAAGTAAAATAATTTGAAGAATTGAGACAGGGGTATACCCTGGAATTGAGTCTCTTAGAAAAAATGTTGGGAAACAAACTTTGTTTTCCTGTTTGTGATAAGATCCTTTTAACTTTCTTAGATATGGAGCTTTGTCTTATTTTGTAATAACTGATGTTCTGTTGTTAAAGAACAACTGTAGTCTCGCATGAATATGTTTCAGTGACTAATCACCATGTTAACCAACAGTTCTGACAAATGGTTGTAGAGCTGAAAATACTGGACTGGACTTTATAAAGCTGACTGGATCTAGGAAGATTGCAGGCAGGCTCAGAATTGTTCTGATGGTCAAGTGGCAGTACCCCAGCGGTAGAAAAACAGCTCACAATTTAGATGGCAGCAAGAGGGTAAGAAAGAGAGAGAGAGAGAGAGAATCTCATTAATTGCCAATGGAAACCTCAAACATTCAAAGTAAAACATTTGTTTGATTTAATTTGATCAGACTTAATAATTACCTCTGAATCAATTAAAATAACTTGAGTCTTCAATAACCTACCCATTAAATACTGGTGACTTAACTGTGGCTTATTTGACTGACTACAAAAGCCTTTTAACTCGCAGAATCAATTATAAAAACAAGCTTTTTTTTAAAATTTAAAAATAAGTTTAAAAAAGGCTAAGGAGTTGAGTGCCTGTAACCACAAGAAATGAAACACAATCTAAGATTTTGATGCTCTGTCAGCCATCTCAAACAAACTAAGATAAGCAGAAGCATGTACATGTTTGCAAACTTACCAGTACTGCAAATATATATCAAGAAGACACAGAGGAAAATCAAGTAGAGCTTCAATCGGTCTTGTCCTCCTCGCACCTTTGAAAATGTTTCCCATGTTCTTGAAGCATATAAAAATATACCTTTTTTCAAGATCCTATCATTAGTTGTGCCAGCTACTTCATCAGTTAGGTCCATCCTTTCAGGAGAATTTGACTCCTGCAACCACAGCAGTACGTAGAAAATAGATATCACTTGACAGCCACAATACACACCAAAAACATGTGTAAAGGTGTAATTCTGAAGCAACCATCCACTCAAGAGATACCCAACAGTTCCCCCAATATAGGTCATTGACTGTACAATGCCAATACGCATAGTACGGTTCCCATCTTTTGTGATGTCAGCCACGTAACTGAAGACACTGAGGAAAATGGCAACATAATTTCCAAAGATCCCTATTAATGCAGAGGCAAAAACACACCAATAGACAGACATGTCTTTAACCTGCACCATCACTATCAATATAGCCCCACCAATTAATGCACCAATACTGGGTAATATCATGCCAAGTTTGCGCCCTGCTTGATCAGACCAGGCACCAAGTAAAATTGACGGAGGTATGGACAAGATAGTCAACACAGCTGTGTACAGAAGTAGAACATAGGCAGCTTTGCTCTGGGTAACTAGTGATTCATCAGGATGAAGTGAGAGATTTCCACATATATCCTCTTTATTATATAGGTCTTCGCAAATCTGTAAAACAAAAACAAACACTTTATCTAACTACCATCAGCATTTTGATTAGGTATCTAAACCAAGCTAAATGCATTTTGTAGGTCTACACAAAAGAAGCTTTGTTCTGGAAAGGTTCCATCAGACCGCAGAGTAGCAAAAACATTCAAGGAAGGAAGGCAGTAAACAGGATACTATAATCCAATTGGCATGATGTGTGTCATAGGGAAGGTGTTAGAATCAAATCATTTTGGAGGTCACATTTGGGCTTTTAGAAAGTATCAAGACAATTGGGAAGAGTCAGCATGGTTTTAAGGAAAATAAATAATGTTTAACTTATTGATTGGAGATCTTTGAAGGAGTAAAAAGGGATAAAAGGGAGCCTGCAGACATACGGCACTTGGACTTCCAGAAGACATTTTACAAGATACCACATAAAAAGTTATTGTGTGAGGCAGGACTTCGTGGTGTTGGGAGTAACATATTAGCATGGATAGAAGATGGGCTGGCTGGTAGAAAGCAAAGTATAACAGTCTTGTTCTGATTAGCAGGGTGTGATGAATGGAGTATCACAAGAGTCTGACACTAAGCCTTTTTTTAAAAAGAAAAAAATTTACATCAAGGACTTCGATGAGGGGAGCGACAGCATGATTGCTAAATTTACAGAGGACACAAAGATAGCGAGCAAAGTATTTTGTGAAGAGGACATAAGGAGGATGCAGACAGATGCTAATATGTATATACTATATATATTGTATATACATTGGTTGAACAAATGGGCAAAAATCCGGCAGATGGAGTGGACTGTGGAAACTGTGAAGTTGTCCACTTTAGCTGGAAAAACAAGAAAAAATATTATTCAGTCAGAGAGTAAGTGTGGAATTTGGAGGTACAGAGGGATCTAGGTGTTCCAATCTACGAACCACAAAAAGTTAGAATGCAGGTACAGCAAGTAATTAAGGCAGCTAATGGAATCCTGGCCTTTAATAGGAGGGGAATCGAACAGAAAAGTAAAGATCTTATGTATCAGTTATATTGGTAGTGGTAAGACCACATCTCAAATGCTATGCTAACTTTGGTCTCGTTAAGGTAGAATATAAATGTACGAGAACAGATTCAGAGCAGCTTTACTAGATTGATGGCACAAATGAATGGATTATCTTGTGAGTCAAGTTAAACAAACTGGGCATGTTTGCCTGTAGTTTAGAAGAGTTGGGGGCGGGGGGGGGGGGGGGTGCGCGGTGGTGGTGGAGCTGATTTGATTGAAGTACGCAAGATCATGAATGGTCTTGACGAAGGTGGAAAGGTTGTTTCTACTTGTGGGTGAATCAGAACCTGGGGGTACTGTTTAAAAATTAGGTATTATCCTTTTAGGGGAGAGATGAAAATGTTTTTTCCCTCAGGGCACTGTGTGGCTTTGGAACTCCCCACCTCAGAAGGCAATGGTGGCAGGCTCAGTAAATATTTTTAAGGTAGCAGTAGATGGATTCTTGTTTAGTAACATAATCATTAGTAGATTGGAAAAGTGGAATTTAAAACACTAACAAGTCAGCCATGCTCTTATTGAATGGCAGAGTAAGTTCAAGGGGCCAAATGCACAATGTTCGCACAAGAAAAATTTCATTTGCATAATCCAGTTTCTTTCACCAGCAGCAAACTATCAGCCTTAATGGAAATGATAATTTTCAAAGAAAGAACTTTTTACATTTATCCATTTGTCTACATTGCAACCATAGTAATTATATTATTTTTGTAGAACTAAATAATTAGAAAGAAGTACAAAACAATTCATATTATTTGTTTTCAGTGCTTAACTATACTATACTTTGATGCACTGTGCTGAAGCACATTTTATACCTTGCCTATGCAGAAGTCAGAATTTCAATGCAACATACTCAGCAACATCCTGCAAATTGCCGAGTATTCATTTCCTGTAATAGTTCAGACAAATCTGGCTGTTTTCTGTGCCTGTTTGATTTTTAGGTTTTTAAAGCAGTCAATAATATTGTCAGCTTTTTGATTGTACATTATGGTTGCTATTGTAAATTTATTATCCAATTTTAATATAGATATTGTGCTGGATATTGTAGTAGAAATTACACTCACCACTGATCTCAAAAGTAAGCCACCCTCAAAGATCCAGTGAGCTTTGTAGAGCAGGCTTCCAACAGATGTTTAGATCTGGCACTAATTCAAGAGAATCACCAGGGATACAGCAACATTGATGGCATCAAGCAGAAAAAGCAGCCAATCGTATTGAAGTGGGGAGGTGATGATGTAGTGATATTGTCACTGAACAAGTAATCTAGAGGCACAGGAAATGTTCTGGAGACAGGGTTAGAATCCGACCATGGCATTTGTGCAATTTGAATTCAATAAAAACCTGGAATTAAAAGTCTAATGACTGACAATGGTCTTGTGGTAATGGTCATAAAAAAGTCTGATTCATTAACATCCCTTAGGGAAGGAAAAACTTCCATCCTTACCTGGTTTGGCCTACACAAACAATTTAGTTGACTTTGGTTAATTGCCCTCAGGGATGGTCTAGCAGGTTACGCAGTAGTATCAGCCACAAAGTCTCAAAAAAAAAACAGTAATACCCAAAGGGATTGCCTGGTATTGATTTAGGCACCTGAAACAGCAATGGTAAATTCAACCCTGTCAACTCTACAAAGTCCTCCATATTAACACGTGGAGGCAGTTCAAAAATTGGGAGAGTTGTCTCACAGACAAGTCGAGCAACAGCCCAACATAGGCAGACTCACTAAATCAGTCCCTATAAAGGCCCAGACAACACATCACCATTTCCGAATATGTCCCATCTCACTGGCAGGACAGATCCAGCAGAGGTATACAGTCAAGAATGAGTTACCCTGGGAGTTGCCAACATTGAACTCTGGAGCCCATGAAGTCTCATAGCACTTGGAAAAACATGGACAAGGAAACTTCCTTTGGATGACCACGTACCAGATCCGCTTGGCTGATGAATCAGTTCTCCTCATGGTGGAAGCACCAAGGGTGCAGATTGTACTCTGGGTAGGGGAATTTTAACACTAACCAAGAGTAGCTCAACTGCACCACTATGACCTAGCTGGTGGAGTCCTGAAGGACACTGGACTGCAGCAGGTGGTGTGGGAACTAACAAAAGGAAAATTACATTTGACCTGGCCTGCCACAGACGCATTTGCCCATGTCAATATCATTAAGTTTTACTACCACACAGTCCTTGTGGATATGAAGTCTTGTTTTTACATTGAGGATACACTATCATGTTGTATGGCCCTACCACCCTGCTATCTGGGATAGACTTTGAACGATCCAACAACTCAAAACCAGGCATCCATGAGATATTGTGGGCCACCAACAGCAGCAGCAGAATTATACTCCAATACAATATGTAATGTCATGGCACAACATATCTGCCACTCCACCATTACCATCAAGCTAGGGGACCAACTACAGTTCAATGAGGAATGCAGGAGAGTATGCCAGATGCAGCACCAGATATACCTAATAATGAGGTCTCAATTTGGTAAGCTACAATACAGGATGACATGCATGCCAAAAAGCATAAGCAGCAAGTAATAGACAGAGCTAAGCAATTCCACAATCAACTGATTAGATTTAAGCTCTGCAGTCCTGCCACATCCATTTGGGAATGGTGGTGGTCAATTAAACAACTCACTGGAAAATGAACCTCCATAGACATCCCCACTGTCAATGATGGGAGTGACTAGCACATCAGTGTAAATGTTAAGGCCAAGATGCTTACAACAATCTTTGGCCAGGAGTGCCAAGTAGATGATCTATCTTGGCCTCCTCCAGAGGACCCCAGACACCAATGTGTCTTCAGCCAATTCAATTCACTCCAAGTGATAACAAGAAATGGCTCAAAGCACTCCATACTGCAAAGTATATGGGCCCTGTTAACATACTAGCAATAGTCCTGAAGGCATATATTCCAGAATTCACTGCACTCCTAGCTAAACTGTTCAATACAGCTCCCAATACTAGCATCTATCCAACAATTTTTGAAAAATTGCCCAGGTAGGTCTGATACACAAAAAGCAGGACAAATTCAATTCAGCCAATTTCTACTCCATCAGTTTACACTCGATTATAGGGAACGTGTTATCAACAATGCTATCAAACAGCAGTTGCTTAGTAATAACCTGCCCATTGACACTCAGTTTGGATTCTGCCAAGACTACTCAACTCCTGAGTTCATTACAGCCTTAGTTAAAAAATGGACAAAGCTGAATTCTGGATAATGTGGTGAGAACAACTGCCCTTGACACCAAAGCTGCTTTCAACCAAGTGTGGCATCAAGGAATCCTGGCAAAACTGGAGCCAATGGGAATTGGAGAAAACTCTCAGCTGCTTGGAGTCATACCTGGCACATAAGAAGATGGTTGTGGTCATTAGAGGCAAGTCATCTCAGTTTCAGGTCATTACTGCATGAGCTCCTCAGGGGAATGCCCTGGGTCCAATTGTCTGCAGAAGATTCATCGATGACCTTATCTCCATAAGATCAGAATTGGGGGTGTTTGCTGTTGATTTACAATGTGCAGCACCATTCCCAACTTCTCAGATACTGAAACAGTTCTGTCCAAAGACTGGGTCAATATCCAAGTTTGAATAGACAAGTGGCAAGTGACAGTCGTGCCACATCACAGCCAGGGAATGACAAGACAGAATCTAACCATCGCCCCTTGACGTTCAACGCCATTACCATCACTGAACTATCACTATCAACGTCCTGGCTACACACCATTAACCAGAAATTGAACTTCACTAGCCATATATACATTATCGCCATAAGAATAGGTCAGAGGCTAGGAACCCTACAGTGAGAAACTCAACTCCCAACTCCCCAAAACTGTTCACCATCTCCAAAGCACAAGTCAGAAGTGTGTTGGAATACTCACCACTTGCCCGGATGAGTGCAGCTCCAATAACACTCAGAAACCTGACACTATGCAGGACAAAGCGACCCAGTTGATTAACATCACACAAACATA